AGCACCCCTAAGGGGAGCCGCCAGGGGTGGTTGCACGGGCTCGTTCGCGGCCATTTTGTGGGGATGTCTCAGGCGGTTTGCTTGTTTCTGGGCTCAACATCCTTCGCTTGGAGAGCAGATTGTGAGGATGTCTCAGGCGGGGCGCTGGTTTCAGCACCCCTAAGGGGAGCCGCCAGGGGTGGTTGCACGGGCTCGTTCGCGGCCATTTTGTGGGGATGTCTCAGGCGGTTTGCTTGTTTCTGTGCCCAACATCCTTCGCTTTCGGAGCAGATTTGGAGGATGTCTCGAGCGAGGCGCTCATTTCAGCACCCCTAAGGGGAGCCGCCAGGGGTGGTTGCACGGGCTCGTTCGCGGCCATTTTGTGGGGATGTCTCAGGCGGTTTGCTGTTTCTGTGCCAACATCCTTCGCTTTCGGAGCAGATTTGGAGGATGTCTCGAGCGAGGCGCTCATTTCAGCACCCCTAAGGGGAGCCGCCAGGGGTGGTTGCACGGGCTCGTTCGCGGCCATTTTGTGGGGATGTCTCCGGCGGTTTGCTTGTTTCTGGGCCCAACATCCTTCGCTTGGAGAGCAGATTGTGAGGATGTCTCAGGCGGGGCGCTGGTTTCAGCACCCCTAAGGGGAGCCGCCAGGGGTGGTTGCACGGGCTCGTTCGCGGCCATTTTGTGGGGATGTCTCAGGCGGTTTGCTTGTTTCTGGGCTCAACATCCTTCGCTTGGAGAGCAGATTGTGAGGATGTCTCAGGCGGGGCGCTGGTTTCAGCACCCCTAAGGGGAGCCGCCAGGGGTGGTTGCACGGGCTCGTTCGCGGCCATTTTGTGGGGATGTCTCAGGCGGTTTGCCTGTTTCCGGGCTCAACATCCTTCGCTTGGAGAGCAGATTGTGAGGATGTCTCAGGCGGGGCGCTGGTTTCAGCACCCCTAAGGGGAGCCGCCAGGGGTGGTTGCACGGGCTCGTTCGCGGCCATTTTGTGGGGATGTCTCAGGCGGTTTGCTTGTTTTTGGGCTCAACATCCTTCGCTTGGAGAGCATTCAAGATGCTCGCATTCAACCATACTCAAAGCTCACTCTGACTCATACGCAATCACTCGCATTAGGGGTCACTCGTCTTCGTCGGCCCTGTCGCCCACGTGGACGCGCTATTGTAGTCGACCGTTCATGAACAGACGCTCACCACGGCATGACATAAAACATGAGATGCACATATGGGGAGCTCCACGCAGTGAGTAATTGTTTCGCAGCGTGCCTTGGATTTTCCTTAGGTCTTCGAAGGGAAATCGAAGGTTCACTTATGGGAGAAAAAAAAAGGGGCCTCGTTCCTTATCTAGGATTCCTCAGGTCAACGCCCCGACTGTATTTCTCCTTTCTCGCCCAAGATCCGCCTATATAGGGGGCACGACCGACCCCAACGCTTGCCCCGACGCGCGGCCTCCCGTGCCCCGGGGAGGGCGCCGCGGCCGCCAGGGGCAGCCGCCGCCTCGGAGGCGGCGGGGGCTCGCCGGGGGGTCTGCCGCCGTGCCGGCTTTGAAGTCGGGCGTGTCCCCCTACATCGGGGGCGGAAAGGAGGGGGGTGATGACTAGGGGGGGAGGAGGATAGGAGGAGGAGGGAGGATGAGGAGGAGGTGAAGGAGGAGGGGAGGAGGAGGAGGAGGAGGAGGAGGAGGAGAGGAGGGAGGAGGGAAGGATGAGGAGGAGGAAGGAGGAGGAGGAGGAGGAGGGGGGGGGGGGATATCATGGCGGGGGCCATGATATTTCCTCAGATTTCATGGCACCTCTTCTCATGTCATCACGTCCCTGGCCCTCCCGGCTGGGCCGCACACATGCCGCCGGTCATGATTTGCACCCCCCCCTCTTGGACACCCCCCTCTTGGCCGCTCCCGACTACAGGGGGATTTTCGGCGAAAAATGAAAGATACCCCAAAGGTATTCAAGAAATGGTCCAAAAATAGTCTGGGGACTATGTTTTGAGTATGCTTTGGCCTTTTTTGGGGGGGTATTTTGAAGGTTTTTTTAATTTTCCGTCGAAAATCCCCCTGTAGGGGGACACGCCCGACATAAGTGTCGGCGTCGTCTACAGTCAACCCGCAGAGGAAGGATGGGCAACCGTCCCAAGGGTACCCTCGCATCCTTGCCTCTTCGGTCTATCCTTGACCATTTCCGTTGGCCGCGCCCCGCTCGGGAAGCTTCGGAATGGGCGTCCAAGGCCCTTGCATCCTCATCCCGCATCCTTGCTCTACAGGTTGACTGTACTGGGGCGCGGGGGCGCAGGCTTTGCCGTGCAGTTGCCGTGGTGTCGGCGTCGTCCACTTGGGCACGCCGCGAACAAACGCGGCGGCGAGATATACACCAAGACTCGATCCTCGATCCTCGCAGGAGGGGGCTCGGATGCAGTTGTTCCAGTGCGGGGCCCTCAGACGCCCCGACCCTGGCCCTGGGGCCCGTGCTTCATCCTGCGTCGTTGTTGGCAGTCCCGGGGCCCGGCGAGGGCCCCCGGAGGCCGAGGACGCCGAGCCACAGCTAGCAGGCTGCAAAACACGGGAGCTCTGGGGAGAGGGGCTCTGTCGGCGACACGTCAGAGAGGCCCTTCGCAGGAGTTGTCTTTTTCTGCGGGGCTTCGCAACAGGGGCGCGGGGAGCCAGGCCCGGGCACGGAGGCCCGTGGCTGTCGCACCGCGGGCAGCGATCAGCGATCGGCGTCATGCCGCGCGTCAAAGGTCGCTGCTGCCCAGAGGTCACTCTTGCGTGCAGCCGACTGGCGCAAGCGGGGGCACATCACTCGAGGCCTCCTGAGTGGGGTCCGAGCAGATGGGGTCCGGGGATCGCCGCGCATTGGCGGTGCGGCTCGATGTGGAGCCCGTTTTTCTCCACGCCGACGGAGCCGATGTATCGCCGACGACGCATCGCCGGTGCATCGACGATGCGGCACGATTCTCCGACCCCAGCGATTCAGACCTCGGCTGCCCCGGCAGGAGGGAGGAAAAGACGGCGGCGGGAGGAGGTGACGGAGCAATTCGCTCGTCACTTCCTCAGTCTGACACAGCAGCGAACAGGAGTGGCGGCAGCTGGCCTCCTTGCTCCCCCATCGCCGTCGTCATCCTCATCCTTCTCCTCCTGTTTCCTGCTTCCTGATGGCCTGAGGGATCCACGATGGCGGCCTCTACCTCCCGGGCCGATCGGCCCTGGGGCGGGGGAGAAGCTAGGAGAAACTTATTGCGCGAGGATGTAACAGACATTCTCCTCTTCCTCCTCCTCCTCCTCCTCCCCTCCTCCTCCCCCTCCTCCTCCTCCTCCCTCCTCCTCCTCCTCCTCCTCCTCCTCCTCCTCCTCCTCCTCCCTTCCTCCCCTCCCCTCCTCCTCCTCTCCTCCTCCTCCTCCTCCTCTCCTCCCCTCCTCCTCCTCCTCCTCCTCCTCCTCCACATCCTCCTCCTCCATCTCCTCCTCCTCCTCGTCCTCCTCCTCCTTCTCCTCCTCCTCCTCCACCTCCTTTTCCTCCTCCTCCTGCTGCTCCTCCTCCTCATCCTCCTCCTCCTCCTCCTCCTCCTCGTCCTCCTCCTTCTCCTCTTGAGGCCTTCAATCACCCTGCCTCAGACCCCTCGCGCCAGCCGCCCGCGCGGCAGGAGGGGGCCCGGCTGCAATCCCTCAGCAGGAGCCCGGTGCCGGCGAGGAAGAGGAGGACGGGCAGGGTTGCAGGAGGAGGAGGAGGAAGAGGAGAGGAGGAAGAGGAGGTGGACAAGAGAGACAGGGGGCAGGAGAAAAGGAGGGGGAGGGATGGGCAAAAGGGAAGGGGGAAAAGGAGAGAAAAGGGGCGGGAGGAAGAGGAAGACAGTCGCCAGCCAGGGCGGCCGCCCCGATCGATGAGGCCGCTCGCTTTTCCGCCGCGGGCGGCGGGGCTGATGCTGGTCACCCTGGTCAGCCGAGCAGCACAGTGTCCTCTAAAGGGGCCATCACGCCCATGGCCCCCACGGGAGCTGGCGACGACGATCGTCAGCCCTCCTGGGAGGGCCAGAATAAACGCCTGGCCCGTGAAGACGCCCACGAGCAACGCGAGAAGCCCGATGAAGCCGACGGGCAGCACGAACGGCAAGTCCAGGTACTGGCCGTCGAAGCGCGTCGGGCAATCCGAAGCGAGCGAGCGCAGGTCGTCGTCGCCGTGACGGTCGATAGCCTCCATGCTGCCCCCCCATCTGGATGAACGCCGGGAGGGCGATCTTCAGGAGCTCATGGCGGGCGAGCTTCATGAGGTCGACCCCCACGGATTGGTTCGGCACGAGGGCCGCCATCGCGCCTGCAGCCACCAGCTCCGCACCAGCTGGAGCAGCGTCACCACCCACAGGAAGCCGCTGCCTCCGCGCCAGGCGCGGCCGAGTCGTCGAGCAGCGGGCCCAAGCTGGCCGAAGCAGAGCCCGCAAGCCTCGCGCTGGACTTCCCGCCAGCGTCCACCATGCGCCCCTCCGTGTGCGCCACAGCGGCGAGCAGCTCGGCGGCGGCGCCTGGCGACCTTGGCCGCCGAGGGCGCCGTGACGTCCTCCTGCGTCTCCTCCTCCGGCACCTCCACGCAGGCAGCAGCAGGCGCGGCCAGCGGCGCCACGGCCGCGGAGACGGCGGCGGCCACGGCCGACCTCGCCGCCGCCGCGACGGTGCGGCGCGGTGCCTGGCTGAGCACCGCGGCGCGCATGGCGGTCTCCACGAGGAGAGCGCCGTCGGCGGCCGCGAGAGCTTCTCTGGACCTCAAAACTCCATCTCGCGGCAGGCGAGCGACGAGGCATGAAGAGCCAAGCCGTGCGATCGCTTGAGCGGTAGATCGGCGCATGCCTCGGGATCCCGACATGTGATCTTTCCCTCGGAGAAAATGGGGCACTGGATCCAGATTGGCGCTTCCCCCGCAAGTCTTTAGAAGGGGGGCTAACTGGGGAGAGGGACGGCGCCGACGACGACGACAAAGACGACGACGACGACGACGACGACAACGACGATGACGACAACGGCGGCGCATGGTTGCAGGCCTCCAGGAACCCGCCACCAGTAAGCAGGAAGAGGAGAAAAAGGGGGGAGGAGAGGAAGGATGCTGCTGCTGTTCTTAATGTAGTGGTTCGTCGATCGGCGCGGGGCCCCGCTCCCCCCTTCCCCCCATAGACCATATTTGGGCCAGTTTGGGCGGCTGCTTGTCGCTACTGGTCGGGTCCTGTCCGCCACCCACCCGCCCCGGTCTGCTTGCGCGACTGGCAAAAGCATATCGACTAAGCACTGGCCCAAACAAAGACACCCACTCTCCCACCCTTCGGCCAACTGTCGAAGTCCAAATAAGATTACGCGCGCGTGGAGAGAGGGAGGAGCGGCAGAGGGAGGGCAGGAGGGGGAGGAGGGGGAGAAGTAGGAGGAGGAGGACGACGAGGAGGAAGAGGAAGTGGAAGAGGAAGAGAGGGAGGAGGAGGGAGGAGGGAGAGGAAGAGGAAGAAGTAGGAGGAGGAAGAGGAAGAGAGGGAGGAGGAGGAGGAGGAGGAGGAGAAGGAGGAGAAGGAGCAGGAGGAGGATCCGGGGGGCGACTACGCCGGAGACGGCGACGGCTCCCAGCCACAGTCCCTCAGCGGGGGCCCGTCGCAAGCCAGGACTCCACATCGTTCGTGCCTCATGGTCGCGCGCTCGCCTTGTGAACCGTGTGGCCCTCGAGAGCGCGTGGGTTGGTCGCTCGCCTCCCCCCTCCGTCGTGGGGAGCTCGTCGATGCGCACGCCCTCCTCTAAGAGGGCCCAACGGGTTCTGGAGCAAACAGATGGTGCGGGCAGGCCTGGAGATTTCTGGGTCTGGCGCGCGCGTTCAGAAGGAATTCGCCGACGCTGGCGCGAGGTCCTGGTCCCGTCTCCTGCCGCTGATCATGTCCTCCTTGCTCGAAACACACAGAGCCATTTCGAACATCCCCTCCCTCCACAATGGCAACGTAGGCTGGCACAAAAGAGGCGGCGCTCATGGCTTCGCAGTCCACTTCGGGACTTTTATCTTCTGCCTCCCCAGCTCCAGGGTCCCAGCCAGCAGGTGATTGTGCTCGCTAGTGGAGGAAGGCGGAGGAAAGGCGCAGTAGAGGGACATAAAGGGAACTGGATGGAAAAATGACGACGACAAGGAGCGGGGTGTAGGGGGGAGGGGAGCATTTATGGGATGAGCAGGAAAAAGACGAAGAGGAGAAGGTAGAAGAGGTCGACGACGACGACGACGACGACGACGACGACGACGACGACGACGACAGGAAGGGTGAGAAAGGAGGAGAGGGAGAAGAAGTAGGAGGGGAAGGGGGTAGGGGAGGTAGAGGAGGCGGATCGGGAGGGGGGTTGGGCGGCGGGAGGTGGCAGACTTAATGAGGACAAGCTGGAGAGGGGGGGGGGGACTGGGAGCTGGGAGGCAGGAGGGCGGGCGGAGGCGGGAGGAGGCGGGAGGATGGAGGCGAAGGACGTCGACGAGGGGGGGGGCGGAAGGTCACCGAGCATCCTTCACAGACCCCCTCGGGTCGTGAAAAAAACACGACGTGAGGTTTTTCGCCATTTTCGGCCCCCGGGGGCCCTTACCGGGCCTCGGGACCGTCAAAAGGAACTCGGGATGAAAAACCGGTCCCAGGGAAGGGGTCCAGACCTCTGGGGGCCGCGTCATGAAAAAATCATGACGGCGGTGGTCTGGGTTGAGCGCGTGCAGCTCTTCAGCTCCTGGCCAGGAACTTTTGGGCCAGCCGGTTCAGACGTTTCGGTTCGCTGTGGGTGTACGTACAGTGGAGGCCCAATGCCAAGAAACACCCTGTTTGCCTCCAGGGTGCCCTGGGTTTCGATGGCGCTGCTGTGGCAGGCGCGACGCTCCCGCCCCAAAACCAATGGAAGTCCTGGGGTTTCAGGGTTGGGTTTCTTGTGGAATGTTTCTTGTGGACCGGCCTCCACTGCACAGTGCCGTTTTCAATACATGCTCCGCGTGCGGATCATGTATCAAAAAATGCATGGATTCAGCATTAGAAGCAACGATGAGTTCACGCACAAATTCATTCATAAATTGATCATGTATTAAAATCCTATATTCTTAAAAATCCCATGTATGAAAAACTGCCCTGTAAGATCACCGAAGGCGAAAGCGGGGCGGGGGGGACGCCCCCAGCCGCGCCGCGACGCCCCCGCAGCGTGCGGCTCGCCCTCAGTATGGTCCTCTGCGCGGCCCGGCTCCTCCTGCTCGGGGCGTGGGCCCCGGCCCCGCTCCGGCTCGGCATCGCCTGTCGGGGGCGGCAAAGAGGGGGGGTGACGACCAGAGGGGGGCGGATATCATGGCGGGGGCCGTGATATCTTCCCAGATTTCATGGCGCCCCTTCTGATTTCAACTCGTGCCCCGGCCCCCCCCCCTAGGCCGCGCACATGCCGCCGGCCACGGTCTGCGCGCCCCCCTCTTGGACGCCCCCCTCTTTGGAGGCCCCCGAGCTTGGCAGCGCGGGCGCGTCTCGCGCGGCATCGCTGGGACGTGTGCATTTCTGCTCGGCGAGGGCCATCGATCAACAAGCGCATTCCACTACTCGCAAAGTGCATACTCGCAAACTTCCGAGAAAAAATGAGAAGAAGAAAAAAAACAAAAAAAGTCTTCCACTACGTAACGGAGCGCAAATGCCCCGCGGCGGGTTTTGCTCATCTGCGAGTAGCTACTTTGCGAGTAGTGGAGCGCGCTTGTCGAACTGAGGAGCCGTTTTTGGTCTTGCGAGGAAACACGCGCACGACATCGACACATGCATGGGGAGTGGAGGTCCGAGCGATGGCGAGAGGGTGGAGGAGTTCTGTTGGGGGGATACCATCGCCCTCGTATTCTTCGTCTCGTTGTGCTTCTGGTGTTTCTTGCTCTTCCTGTTCTCCATCTTCCTCCTCTTTTTTCTCCTTCGAGACGCTGCCTGACCCCCCCGCCCCGTCCGCGCACATGCCTCGGTGCGCACCACCACCGTCCCCCTACACCGTCTCCTGGCCCCCCTCTGAGGCGCACCACATGGCAGGGCAGGCTCTCCGAGGGTATCCGCGGTCCGGTCGGTTCGGCCGCTTGCTTCGCCGTCGGCGCCGTCGCGTCCTTCTGGGCTGCGTTCGGTCCACCGGTTTCGATCGACCTCGGTCTTGCCATCGGGCTCTGTCGGTCTCCGATCTGGGTGTCGCCGTGGACGTCTGTGGAGACGCGTCGGGCAGAGAGGGATGGTGTCGGGGAGGAGTTCGAGGATCGAGGTTCGGCCATAGAGCGAGTGGAGTTCGAGGATCGAGGTTCGAGGGTCGAGGTTCGAGGGTCGAGGATCGAGGATCGAGGTTCGAGGATCGAGGATCGAGGTTCGAGGATCGAGTTCGAGGGTCGAGGATCGAGGATCGAGGTTCGAGGTGTAGGGGAGGAGTTCGAGGATCGAGGTTCGAGGGTCGAGGATCGGCCATAGAGCGGGGGGGGACTCTTGGCCGCCCCGCGATCCGATCGAGTTGGTACGATATCGATTCCTCCCGGTACGATCCGATTCGATTCCGATATGCCGACGGTCCGATGTGCCCCAGTGTGTGCGCGGTGTTGCTGTACATCATGGCGCAGCTCATCCGAGTCGATCTCGACTCCGTGCCGATGCGGCCCGGTCCGATTCGATGTTGTTTCCCGATGTTGATGTTGCTTGATTCTGCCAACCCCCTCTAACACTATGTTGTCGGCGTCAATATGTGCGTCGCCCCGCCAAGGGCGACGCGCGCACCGAGAAATATTATAGTATATGCGTCGTGGCGGGCGCTTTCTGGCCACACCGCTCGGGAAAAGATATACTACAAGATGGGTATACTGTATGTTCGGGTCGGACGCGCGCCTCCAAGGAGGACATGCAGTATTAGTATGTCCCTGTGCGTCCCATGTTGGACCCCCAGGAACGAGGAAAGGGGGAGGGGGGGGCATCCAAACATCCCACGCGCCCTTTCACCCCTGGCGAGCGGGGGTCGGCGAAGATGGGGACGGTGGAGGGGAAAGTTTTACGATCGAGGATCGAGATTCGAGGGGGGGGTTCGAGGATCGAGATTTTAGGATCGAAGATCGAGGATCTAAATAAGAGGAACGGGGAAGGAGGATCGGGGAGGGATCCGGGTTGAGGATCGAAGATCGAAGATCGAGGATCGGGAATGGAGCGTCGAGATTGTAAGTTTGAGGATCGATGATCGAGGATGGAGGAATGGATTCGAAGATGCAGGGACACAGATGGAGAGGTTCATGGATCGAAGCTCAAAGATGGAGATTCCAGGATCTCGATGTGTTTGTGGCACGAAGTCCTCCAGTTGCTCTTGGGGACCTCCAGGGACCGCCGGAGGAGGAGGGGGAGGTAAAGAGGGGAGAGGAGGGCGCAGGGGCGGCCACTCCTCGTGGCTCCTCGTATGCCCTCTCCTGCCCCTGCCAGGGCTCCCTCCTCGTCGCACTCGCCCCACGCCCACAGCGCGCACACGCCAGTTGTTGAAAGCAGGCATTCTTGGATTTTCGGAGCTCTATATGTACTTCTGGCGCCCTCCTACTTCAAGGATCGGATGGCTTCGCCTTGTCCTTCCTCGTCAGGGGGGCGGCCGGAAGCCCAGCCTGCTTCCAACGCCTTCCTGCTCCGTGTCTCTGCCCACCCCCCGCCCAGGGACCGCGGGCGCCCGCGATGGCGGAACAGTCTCAACCGTCGGTCGAAAAGTTCGGCCCCCGGACGACAGGGGGGGGCATAGGGAAAGGGGGGGGTTACTGAAGCTGCTGCTGGCAGCTGGTTTCGGCCCCGCTGCCGGGCCCACTCCTCGATGCATGGGCGCCTCCCGGCGCCAGGAGGCGCCAGGCAGACCAGCTGCGTGAGCCGCTTCTCTGCCCCACCCGTTGCTAGCCTACCCTTTCCGTTTCCCCCGAGAAGTCCGCGCTCCCAACGAGGGCGTGCGGTGATGAGGGGCCGCACTGGCGCGCGGGAGCGAGTTTGAAGTCGGGCATGTCCCTCTGCAGGAGGAATATTCGAAAATACTCGAAAAGGTAGTCTGGGGACGACTTTTTGACTATGTTTGAGTATCTTAAACTATTTTCAATTTGCTCCCCACCGCCTGTGGGAGGACATGCCCGACCTAAAGCGAGATGTCCTACGCTGCGGCTTGTCGGAGAGGCGACAGCGAGGCACAACGAGGGTTTGTCCAACCCCCTTTCTGAGGCTCTCCGCATCTGGCCCCGATCTGCGAGCCCCGTGACGCCGACCCTGGCATCCCGAGGTCGATGGCAAGCGACCGTGGGGAGGGGGAGGGGGAGGAGGAGGAGGGAAAGAGGAGGAGGAGGAAATGAGGAGGAGGAGGAGGAGGAAAAGAGGAGGAGGAGGAGCGGGAGGCCGTCCTGGTCGTGCCGGTTCCTAAGGCAAGAAGGTGATCGCTGCAGTCGCAGCAGGAAGGCTCCCACCAAGGTTTTCGACCTGGCCCGAGCTCTCGGCCACGGCCCAGCTGTTTGGCTTCGGCATGATCGTTCCCTAGATCTCACGCTGCAGTTCTCGACATGGACTGTGAGGAGACGGAGCAGGAGAGTGACGAAGGGGAGGCAGAGAGGAAGACCCCGAACTCTCGGCCACGGCAGTTTTTCGGCTTCCGCGTGCTCGTGCTCAGGATCTCACGCCTGCAGGTCTGGGCATGGACGAGGAGGAGATGGAGCAGGAGGGTGACGAAGGGGAGGCAGAAATGAAGACCCCGAACTATCGGCCACGGCCCAGTTTTTCGGTTTCGGCGTGCTCGCTCCCAGGATCTCACGCTACAGTTCTGGGCATGGGCGAGGAGGAGATGGTGCAGGAGAGTGACGAAGGAGAGGCAGAGAGGCAGACGGTGAAGACCAGGAGCCAGGGAGAGGTGGGCCGAAAGGAGTGAGAAATCTGCGTGCTATCTTTTAATCGAACTAGATTTCCAAAATCAAGGGATGAAAAAACACCCCGACCCCGATAATTGGCGTTTACTGAAAGCCCTGCCCTGTTCGATTCCTTCCTTTACGAAACGGCTTCGCTTGTCGGGGTGCTTCGTATGGGGCTGGATGTGATGCACCCCACAGAAGCCACGCAGTTCTTTCGGAAGGGGGCAGGCTTCGTGGGCGGGGAAAATGCGGTCGGGAACTAATTATGGCTCAGCGTGACGCGCTGCCGGTGCTGGCCCGCCACGCTTCGAAGCGACACGTCGTCCGCATCCCCATCCCCACGCGTCGACGTCCCGAGCTTTTCCGAGCTTCCCTCCTCCCTCCTCCCTCCACCCTCTTCCTCTCCTCCCCTCCTCCCTCCTCCCTCCTCCCTCCTTCCCTCCTCCCTCCTCCCTCCTCCCTCCTCCCCCCTCCCCCCTCCCTCCTCCCCGACACGCTATTCGCTCGCAAAGCATGGCGTGCGGCCTGAGCCGTCGCCGCGACACGCCATGCAAAAGCTCCTGGCCGTGTGCACATCCACGGGCTCGCAGGCTGGACCTCTCGGCGACGACCCACCAGATGCAGGGCGGCTGCGCGAGGGTGGCCCTCGAGGAACGCATCCTCGCGTATCCAGGCGATCGCGCCTCGGTGTCAAGACCGCGGGGGCACGGACATGGATCTGTTCGACGAGATCCGCTCGAAATCGATCCTGGACCACCCCTCAGGGTAAGTGATCCTCCCCGGTTCGATGTCTGACGACCCACAGGCCCGATGAAAGGCTCCCAGGCGCCGAGAACGACGAACCAAGACTAAGATCCTGCATCTCTGCTCGTGATGCTCATCGCTCATGGGTGGATGGCCGAGGTGCTCACCTGCTGTGGCACGATGTTCCTGGTCGCCACCCTGGACGCGCCCGAGCTGCTGCTACGGGCCCTCGCCGCCCGCGCCGTCCTTGAGGCCGCCCCCCCCCCCTCCGGAGAGGCTTGCCGCCAGAGTGACGTCTGGCGCGGGCTCACAATCAGGGGTAGCCTAAGGGGGGATGGGCTGAGGGGGGAGTGGCTTTCCGGACGTTTTAGTTGGTGCCTCGGCGGTTTTCCCGCCTCGGGGTGCTCACCAGCAGCTGCGCCTCGCCGAGGCGCGTCTGGGGTTGCCCCGATCGTCTCGAATGGCCGCCAGAGGCTCGAAAACCAGACGACGAGGTTCAGGGGGGAACGCATCGACCCCCAATCGCCCATTGATCGCCGGCAGGGGCGCGAGGGCCCACCCACGCCCAGGACCAGGCGGATTTGCTACCGGCGATCTATCGGCGATGTATCCCCGATTCCAGCTCGATGTGTCCCCCCTTGGGCCGATCCCCCGCCCACGTTCCCCTTCACAACAGGAGTCCCCCGAGCACTGGCCTGCGCCTATGGATTCGGCTCCCCCCCGCCGGCCCTCCAAAGCCGCGCACCGAAAATCGCTCTTTCCTGGGGCCACCCTCAAGTCCAGACGAGTGAGGGTGGAGTAACGATGGAGGGGGGGGAAGCGGGATCGAGGGTTTAGGTTTGGGCCGTTTGGGGGCTTTCTTGGGCCTCCCCGAGGCTTCCTGGCGTCACGCCCAGATTCCCTTCGAACTTCTGGCCAGGACGCATCCTTGGACAGGTCCATGGGTCGAAGGTTGAACCAGGAGCCCGGAGGAACCAAGACCCCCCCTCGCGTTATGAAAAATCGCAACCAGAAAATCGCGTCATGTTCGACACCAGGGGGGGTCCTTACGGGGCCTGGGGCCGTCAAAAAAAACGACCCAGGATCAACCCGCCCCAGGGGAGGGGTCCAAACCACCAGGGATCCACGCTGTGAGAAAGTCACTACGTCGGGGGTCCGGGGGGAGCGGAGGGAGCGAGCGAGCAGGGAGGACGGAGTAGGGGAGGACGGAGATTATTAGAGGAAGGGGGAGGGAGGAGGGGGGGACGAGGGCAGAGGGAGTGAGAGAGCAGGGGAAAAGGTAAGGTGGGTGATGGAGGAGGAGGAGGAGGAGGAGGAGGAGGACGAGGACGAGGAGGAAAAGAGAAGGACAAGAGGAGGAGGAGAGGAGGAGGAGGAGGACGACGACGACAAAGAAATGGTAAAGGGGACCATCGACGTAGTCATATCAAAGGAACGAGGAATAAGGTTGCCTGCCAGACCCACACGGCCACCTGCAGGCCCTCGCGCCTGCCCGCCAAGATGACACCCGAGGACACGAAACAGACGCCGCCTGGAAAGGATGGTCGACGCATGCATCTCTATACATTACGTTATCCGCACAAAGGCTTAGGCCTCTGCCGCGGGCCCCGACCCATAAGAACAGAAGATATCAGGGCCATGTCGGGCTGTCTGGGCGCCGTTTTGAAAGCATCTGGAAATATCGTGCGGGGACGGACAGAAATCAGCAACACATTGAGATGTTGGGGCTACTCTTAAACACTAACGCTGATGCATGTTTTCAGCGTTCCCCGAGCGAATCTGGCATGACTTACTGGAGAATCTGGTTTCGGGGCGCGAATCTGAAGTAATTTACAAAGAGTCTGTCCTCGGAATGCGCGAATCTGTTGCAAATTACAAAGGGCTCTGGCTTGGGATCTGGCATAATTTGCAAGGGCTCTGGCCTCGAGAGCGCGTTTTGTTTTCCCGGAAAGGGCTTAAGCCCAGTATTATCTTTTCGTAGGTTTCGTCCCCGTTTGTGACTCGAAGAGGGCCGGCGGAATTATTCTGCGATGACTAACGAGGTCGAAGAGGGTCGGCGGAATTGAATTTTGAGGATGTCCCTAGCGAAACGCTTGCTTTGCAGAAGTTGTTGAGGATGTCTCGAGCGAAACGCTTGTTTTGTGTCATAGACTGTCCTCTCCTGGGGACTAAAATTCAGAGGATCTCTCAAGTGAAATGCTTGTTTTCACGTGCCCATGTCTTGAGGATGTCTCGAGCGAGACGCTTGGTTCCACGCGTCCAGATTGCCCAGGCAGATATCTAGCATGAGCAGTTGTTGAGGATGTCTCGAACGAGACGCTTGTTTTCTCGCGTCCAGGTCGCCCAGGCGCATGTCTAGCACTAACATGTGTTGAGGAAGTCTCGACCGAGAGACTTGTTTGCACGTGTCCAAATTGCCCAGGCGGATGTCTAGCATGAGGATGTGTTGAGAATGTCTTGAGCGAAACGCTCGTTCTCAAATGTCCATGTCGCCCAGGCGGATGTGTTAAGGATGTCTCGAGCGAGACGTTTGCTTCCACGTGTCCAGGTCGCCCAGGCGGGTGTCTAGCATGAGGAGGTGTTGAGGTGTTGAGAACGTCTCGAGCGAAGCGATTGTTTTCACGTGCCCAGGTCACCCAGGCGGACGTCTAACATGAAGATTGTTGAGGATATCTCGAGCGAACCACTTGTTTTCAGCACGTTCCGTGGCGCGTCCCGTGGCGAGTCCCGCTGGCACGTCGCGCTGCGCGTCCCTTGGCACGTCCCGTGGCACGTCCATTGGCACGTTCCGTAGCGCGTCCCTTTTATGTGCTCAGGCAGCTCGAGCTTCAGATCCAGGTCAGTTCGGTCAGGACTTGGATGCAAAGGAGGACTCGATCCACAACTCTATAGAGCACAATCGCGGCATGGCACATCGCAATTCAGCACGGCGTAGCACAGCACAGCCTTCGGCACGATACATCAAGATCGATACACTCAGCATTGCAACTTGGCACGTTCCGTGGCGTGTCCCGTGGCGAGTCCCCCTGGCACGTCGCGCGGCGCGTCTCCTGGCAAGTCACGTGGCACGTCCATTGGCACGTTCCGTAGCGCGTCCCTTTGGCACGTCCCGCGGTGCGTCCCCATGGCACGTCCCTTGGCACGTCGCCTGGGGCGTCCCTTGGGACGTTCCGCTGCGCGTTCTCCTGGCATGTCCCCTTGTCAACTAGCCCCGGGGCAGCAATTATGTGCTCAGGCAGCTCGAGCTTCAGATCCAGGTCAGTTCGGTCAGGACTTGGATGCAAAGGAGGACTCGATCCACCACGCTATAGAGCACAGTCGCGGCATGGCACATCGCAATTCAGCACGGCGCAGCACAGCATAGCCGTCGGCACAGTACATCAAGATCACTCAGCATTACATTTGCCCGTCGCCCAATCAGATGTCTTTGAACACGTTGCCACGCCTTACATTTCTGTATTCCTTTGGTTCGTGTGTCGATCATGTCTCAAATTGCTAAGGATTTGGGCGCCAATTTGGTGCAATTCGATAAGGATCGTGGCCTCGGGGGAACGAATCCAACATAATTTACAAGGGACCGCTGCGTCGGGGGCGCGAATCTGGCGTATTCTATAAAAGGTTCTGGCCTCGCGAGCGCAAATCCGGTGCAACTTACTATGGGTTCTGGTTTCGGGATCGCGAATCTGGCGAAATTCACAAGGGATCGTGGCCTCGGGAATGCGAGTGTGGCGCGCGAATCGTGTGTAATTTACCTTAGGTTATGGCCTGGGGGCGCGAATCTCATTTACATTTACGCGTCCCAGGAGCCCCGGGGGAGTTCCGAGAACCCAGCCGTGGGGGCCGCGGTGGTGTGTCGTTTTCGGCCCCCCCTCCTCGCGCGGACAGAAGCACTTCAGCAGGAAGCAGAAAGCAAAACTATAATTTTGGATACTGGGAGCAAGTTCAGGAAACCTCATCCGCGCCTGGTGGCCCCCAAGGGGGCCAGCGGATTCAAACATCGAGTGCACCAGCACTGCGCGCCCACCGCGCACCACGAATACAAAGCCCAGCGGAAATGGCCATTCGCCCGTCGCATGCGACTCACCAAATGGCCTCTTTCCGAACCGTAGAGCACTGGCATGCACCGAGCTAGCAAATTGGAATGATGGCGGAATGCAGGCGCGGGAGACAGCAGACAACCATGGCAGTGCCGAAAAGGGAACGGCACGCGCCAGCACGAGAGGGCAGACTCCACGAGATCTCATGGCTGCAGCACGCCGCCACCCAGGACGAGCGCATTCGAACAAGAACGCCCCACCGGATGAAGAATGCCATCGGCACCACACACCAGCAGAAGCCACACAGCAGAGCATGGGATGCTGTAAGAACTCATGGCCACACCATTGGAAAGTCAGAGTGAAGGGGCCGAACGGTCATTCACTGTCCCTGGGTGCGTGACTGAAGTGGGCTTCCGCGGTGGAGATTGATGTTGTTCTTGTCGTTGTTGTTGTTGTGGTTATTCTTGTTGTCGTCGTCGTCGTCGTTGTTGTTATTGATATTGTCATTGTTCTTGTTCTTGTTCTTGTTATCGTTGCTGATTGTTGTCGTCGTCCCGCCCGCGACCCAGCCCGCGACCCACCCGCAATCCACCCGCGACCCACCGGCGACCCACCCGCAACTCACCCGCGACCCGGGTGGCCCACCCGCCACCCGCCCGCGACCCACCAGCGACCCACCGCACGACCCGCCCGCGACCCTCGCGCAACCCATGCAAGACCGACCCGCAACCCACGCGCGACCCACCCGCGACCCACCCTCGACCCACCCGGCGACCCACCCCGCGAGCCCACCCCGCGACCCGCCCGCGAACCACCCGCGACCCACCCTCGAACCACCCGCGACCCACCCTCGACCCACCCGCGACCCACCCGCGATTCACGCGCGACCCACCGCGCGACCCACCCGCGACCCACCCGCGGACCCACGCGCGCGACCCACCCGTGACCCATGCGCGACCCGCCCGCGACCCACCCTCGAATCGCCCGCAACCCACCCTCGAACCGCGCCGCGCCCGCCACCTCACTCTTATTCGCATCTGCGGGTTGCCACATAACTTCTATATATGTATGTGTGTATATAGATATATGTATATATATGTACATGTATGCATCTGACAACAGAAACACCTTATTGGACGCGCGTCATGCTCCGCTGCATGCTTCCACGCGAGGGGTAAGCCTGAAGAGCGTGAAGCAGCAAAACTGACGGACCCTCACAATTTAAGCAACAACTCAAAAAGTGCATGAACAGCCAGGGAAAAGACAAATCAGAGTGCCGCAATATCCTTATGGGCACTGCAAAGGCACAGTAGTAGATGATACACAAACACACAAGCAAACAAACAAACAGACAGACAGACAGACAGATAAACAAACACACGCACACGCAGACGTTTTAAGTCGGCAGCGCAGAGGGACCTCAGACGCCGTCGGCAGATGGAGGTGCCAAATTGCGAGCGAACTTAGTCGAACGCACCATGATGGAAAAGCCCAGTCACGGCCATCCAGGGATGTGGTGAAAGACGAGAGGCGTTGCAAAGCCAGGGTGCAGCGGCCCAAAAAAAACGAGGAACACAAGCTCGACGCGGGTAGCTTGAAGTGCACAGACACACGTTTTGGCGTCGCGGCCCTGCGCGCAGCGATAGGGCGTGAAATGTTGAAGACAACATGTCTGACCCAGTAGGGCTGACGCTATACCCGCCGCCTGTCTGATACTTGTTTGACTTCGGCCGGCCCGCAGGCGCTCCTTGATTGAGGGTAATGCACAGAACCATGGGAAAGACGGATGGGAAGGCGGGGGAAGAGGAGGAGGACGGGAAAGAGAAGCACGAGGACGAGGAGCCGGGCAAGGGGGATTGGATAAGGTGCAGAAGAGGGAGGAGATGGATGCGACGGGAGGTGTCAGAGAGAGCGAGAGACAGAGAGAGCAAGAGAAAGAAAGATGAAAAGAGGGGGAGAGGGGGGAGAAGATTCTTCAATGACTCGTGCAACATCTTGCGGACCTTTTGAGCTGTCCGGTGGCTCGCTTCGTGCCCTCGTGGTCCGTGGTTTGAGCCACTTGGAGCCCCTCTTGAGCCGTCGTGGGGTCTCAGGGGGCCTCCTGGCCCCGTTTGGCGACTTTTGGGGGTCTCAGCCTCTGCCATCTGAGCGGCCTCTTGGGCTTCCTTGGCTTCCCCTTCCCTAAGAAGTATGATTGGAAGACTTGCGCCCTTCTAATCAAAACTGAGAACTGCATGAACATAAGCTTTTGAAGCTCCGCACGGATTTCTTGGAGCGGCGCTGGGCTCCTAGAGGCGCCTCCGGCGCCGCCCCTGGCGCGCTCCACGCGCCACGGAGGGGGGTTCAGCGCAGATCCAAGAAATCCATGCGGACCTCCAAATGTTTCTGTTTACGCCGTTGCGTAATATTTTACGCTTGAGGCTATCTCGGGCCGTCTTCAGAAGTTGTTTCCGTCATTCGCGGGCCGTCCTGAGGCCCTCTGGGTCCCCCCGCGGACCAGAGTGGGGCGAAGAGGTCGGCGGGCTGGGCATCGACGAGCAGCATCCTTCGCAGCTGGCTCTGCCCGTGCAGGGGCCTGAGGCGTTTCTCTCGGGCGTGGCGTCGTGGGGCGTCTTGGAACAATTCTGGGTCGTCGTGGAGGCCTCTCTTGCGATCTGCAGATGCTCCGTTGTGCTGTCTGGGCTGCAGATTGGCTTCCTCTCGGGCCACCATGGGCCCGTCTAAGGGGGGGTTGCTGGGGTCCCGCGCACTCCCAGGCCCCTCGCCGACACATCTCTTGCCCGCCCCGTCCAAGTCGCGAAAATCGACCTCGTGCCCAGAGGAGGTGTCGAGCCAGGGGCAGCCATGTCGCACTGCGATGCGCAAGGGGTCGATGGAGATTGTCTTGACGGTTTGATCTACGTACTGTTGGCACATTCCTCCTCCTCGTCCCTCTCCTCCTCGTCATCCTCCTCCTTTTCCTCCTCCTCCTCCTCCTCCTCCTCCTCCTCCTCCTCCTCCTCCTCCTCCTCCTCCCCCTCCTCGTCCTCCTCCTCCTCCTCCTCCTCCTCCTCCTCCTCCTCCTCCTCCTCCTCCTCCTCCTCCTCCTCCTCCTCGTCCTCCTCCTCGTCCTTCTGTGACCAGGAGCCGAGTTCGTTGACCAACGCATGATACCATCATTGCCCATGCCGGGCTTTGGCCAGGTTGACGCACAAAGAGCAGGCGGAGGGGGAGGAGCATTCGCGGCGGCTCAGCGCAGCCTATCGTGGGTCGGGCTCCGTGGCGCCCAGAGGACACACGGAACGCAGTGCAGAGATTGCTTGTTCCAGGCATGAAGTTGTTGGGCGCCACCTGGGCTCTGCCTAGGGGCGCAGCAGTCTTTTGCGCGGGAGGACAGGTGGCTTCAGTGACCTCCAGTCCTGGTCGCTCGAGTTCCCCGGTTCCCCCAGATCCCTGGCGGCTCCCCCAGGTTCTTTGGCGGGTCCCTAGGGCTCTCCCAATTCCTCGGGCAAGCTGCGTCGTGTTGCGATAGTTGACGTTGCTGTGCATCTGCATTGCACTGCACGATTTCGCACTACTGATTCCCATTGCACTGCCACTATGGCAACGACATTGCGTAAACAAGTATGCGACGCCAACCCGCTCAAATTTGGATGCTATGTGCGATTAAGTTTGCTTGCTCCTGCAGCGCCCCAGGAGAAGGAAGCAGCGGAGTCGGAGAGGGGGGAGGAGGACGACGAGATGATACGAAGATCTTTAATGTCGGGTATTCTGGGGCTTCTGCTCCTTTCAGACTAGGTCCGCTTTGCAAGGCTTCTGCATCATGATTGTCCAGGCTTGCTGAATGGGGCTAGAGGCAGCGGGGCTACCAGCACGCACTGCATCGCGTTTCAAGAGAATCAGATGTTGCCCCACCCCATTGAGCAGGGCTACATCTCAGGTGCCCATGGAGTCGACTTTGACTGCTCTGCGCAGCGTGCAGCGTCCTCCCCGCGGCAGCCCGCAGAGGTGGGCGAGCTCGTGATGTCTGCCGCAGCGCCGCCGCCCTTCGCGAAGGAGCGCCAGCGCAGCACCCCGCACTGCTCAGCCAGAGCAGGCATGACGGACCAGAAGGAAGTCAACAATTGCTTGCCTCGCCAGCCCGAAGGCACGTCTCGACGAACGGAACGTCGGCAGGTCACAAAGCCACGAGCGACCATACCAGGATGGGTATCATCGCAGCGGCCCTAGTCCAACTCTCCCACATAATGCGCACGACGGTTTTCCTCCATATGACCGGCCGGGAATTGGGCACAAATACACGTACACCAGCTAGAACGGTCACATTGGCATTATCATTGCCGTCACGAGTGGGAAGCCGATTAGTTTTGTCGCGACATTCATGGTAAGAACGATTGTGCCCGTCAAAGTCATGTCCATCTTACTGCTCATGATCACCATCGTCGTAACCGGCCTCCTAATAAAGATCATCTTCGCATTCCAACATCAGTATGCCAACATGCCAACATGCCAAAACAATGCGCGACACAGCCGAATTACAGGAGATAGTGAATATCAAGGGTAATCGAGGCTACACCAAGTTAAGTTTCAGTTTCAGCCGATGATGAAGCTGAAAGTTGGCTCAAAACAGCGTGGGCCTGAGCTATGATGAAAAGGACAGAACTGAGTTGGGCGAGTCTGACCCTGGATCAGCTGCGCCAGGCTAACAATGAGTCAATGGGAACCTCGCTACGACAGCTGTGGCAAATATGAGACGGTCCAAGCAAGCCTACGCTTAGGTCATCCTCGCTAAGGTGTGATATAAAAAGAGTGAAGCTGCGTTCATGTTAAAGCTGAACTCGAACAATATGAGAAGCTATGCGAAGGCGAAGGCGATGGCGTTGGCTAGTGATCAGGCCAGAACTGAGACTGAGGTTCGGGCAGAGGCTGACGCTGACAGGTAAGACAAAGCTGAGCTAAGCCAGGCAGCTGAGATAAGTTGAACTGGAAGAGTTGCTTCAAGTCGAGATTGGCCCAGCTGTCTTGATTTAAACGTAGCCGAGAGGAGTCACGCGAAGCTACAGTTCAGGTTAAGAGATCAGAAGTGAATGGCAAGCCGAACACGAAGCAAAGGACCCGACGATTGATGTGCTTCGAGAAAAGTGGTGGTAAGCTAACAAGCATCCTAGCTGCGCTGAGGCTAGCCTGAGAAAATGTCGCTGCGCTCATGTCGGCCCAGGATACGTTAAGACGGGCGGCAGAAGTACCGACATAAGCAATATGTTGTTCCCAATCATCCTGTGGTGTTGGGTCCTCGTTTTGAAGAAACGGTCCCTGCGTTCCTTCTTCCTCCTTCTCCTCGCCCTCCTCCCTCCTGCCTTCGCATGCCTCCCCACCACCCATTTCGGCACACCCCTCACACGTTTCGTGGCCCCATAGGCAGCTCCACCGAAGGCCCCAGTGGCTGCGTTCGCATGCCTCCCCACCACCCATTTCGGCACACCCCTCACACGTTTCGTGGCCCCATAGGGAGCTCCACCGAAGGCCCCAGTGGCTGCGTTCGCATGCACCACCCATTTCGGCACACCCCTCACACGTTTCGTGGCCCCATAGGGAGCTCCACCGAAGGCCCCAGTGGCTGCGTTCGCATGCCTCCCCACCACCCATTTCGGCACACCCCTCACACGTTTCGTGGCCCCATAGGGAGCTCCACCGAAGGCCCCAGTGGCTGCGTTCGCATGCCTCCCCACCACCCATTTCGGCACACCCCTCACACGTTTCGTGGCCCCATAGGGAGCTCCACCGAAGGCCCCAGTGGCTGCGTTCGCATGCCTCCCCACACCCATTTCGGCACACCCCTCACACGTTTCGTGGCCCCATAGGGAGTTCCACCGAATGCCCCAGTGGCTGCGTTCGCATTTTCGGCACACCCCTCACACGTTTCGTGGCCCCATAGGGAGCTCCACCGAAGGCCCCAGTGGCAGGGTCCGCATGCCTTTTCGGCATCACACGTTTCGTGGCCCCATAGGGAGCTCCCCCGAAGGCCCCAGTGGCAGGGTCCGCATGCTCCCCACCACCCATTTCGGCACACCCCTCACACGTTTCGTGGCACCATAGGGAGCTCCACCGAGGCCCCAGTGGCTGCGTTCGCATGCCTCCCACCACCCAGTTCGGCACACCCCTCACACGTTTCGTGGCCCCATAGGGAGCTCCACCGAAGGCCCCAGTGGCAGGTTCGCATGCCTCCCACCACCATTTCGGCACACCCCTCACACGTTTCGTGGCCCCATAGGGAGCTCCACCGAAGGCCCCAGTGGCTGCGTTCGCATGCGTTTCGGCACACCCCTCACACGCTTCGTGGCCGAGCTCCACCGAAGGCCCCAGTGGCTGCGTTCGCATGCGGCCCGCACCCATTTCGGCACACCCCTCACACGTTTCGTGGCCCCATAGGGAGCTCCACCGAAGGCCCCAGTGGCAGGTTCGCATGCCTCCCCACCACCCATTTCGGCACACCCCTCACACGTTTCGTGGCCCCATAGGGAGCTCCACCGAAGGCCCCAGTGGCAGGGTTCGCATGCCTCCCCACCACCCATTCCGGCACACCTCTCACACGTTTCGTGGCCCCATAGGCAGCTCCACCGAAGGTCCCAGTGGCAGGGCTCGCATGCCTCCCCACCACCCATCTCGGCACACCCCTCATACGTTTCGTGGCCTCATAGGGAGTTCCACCGAAGGCCCCAGTGGCAGGGTTCGCATGCCTCCCCACCACCCATTGCGGCACACCCCTCACACGCTTCGTGGCCCCATAGGGAGCTCCACCGAAGGCCCCAGTGGCAGGGTTCGCATGCCTCCCCATCACACATTTCGGCACTCCCCAACACCCATTTCGGCACACCCCTCAGGTCGGGGGGAGCTTGACACTGGTATCCTTGCGGTACTCGCAGCTGCATATGGTTGGGTCCTTCGCCAGGCTAATTTTAGGTCATTGGTTGCGGCCAGGATAATTCCTATTACGGCGTGGCAAACAAGCCGACATGATCTTCTAGCATCAACCGACGTTCGAGCAATATCATCCGTTGCGTTGGTCATCGCAGGCCCGTGTGTATGGTGACCATGGACGTGGTAACAATGATGTTGAATCTAGCCGTGACACGTTCCTGATAGTAGTGATCATGGTGTTCATGGTTTGATTATATCGCATGGCGGTCGATCATTGCCGACATGATAGTGAACGCGTCGGCAAAAGGGCCAAAGACGGCGAGAGTCAGGGAGACGACGACCATGACATGCACGTTGTCATGGCAAGTACTTATGGTTATTACCATGCGCATGGTGACTGTCGAACGCGGTGACGGCGATAGTGATCATGCAGTCGATGATTACGAAAGGCATGAGTGTGACCATGATCATCACGATAACGGTGACAAGGTTAGGAGTGGAAATGGTTTCAGCGACGCATGAATTCACACTTGTGTTAAATATTGTAATAGCGACAGTCTTCCTGATTGTGGGTAGCGTCCTTGATGTCTAGCGGTTACATGGAATCATCATTTGAAGGTCGTGGTCGTAACGGCCACGATGGCAAACGTGAGGGTGATTGTGTCAACGACGCCGAAGCTCCTGAAATGGTCATGCACGGAGGGGTTGTTCTTCGCGCTCGAAAGAACTTGATATGTTGGCCGCATTGTCTGCTGGCCCGTTGGATTACTATCGCTTCTTATAGGTTTCCATGACTCCCCCCCACACTGGGCCTGAGTGCGGCACTGTCTGGTGGCCGCTTGGGTCCCCATGGGTTCTTGTGGATTCATCTAGCTTCTCCCCACCAGCTCTGTGTGGCGCACTTTCTGGTGGCCCCTTGGAATCTTAATGAACTCCCACAGGTCCCCTCCTCAGCCATGTGTGCCGTACTTGCCCGTGGCCGCCTAAATTCACGTGGATTCTTACGGAGACCTACGGCCTCTTCCCACATTGGCAATGGAAAGCACGCCGCTTGGCTCAATTAGATTGCATCTTGTAGATTGCACCACATGGGATGCGCCCGACAGCACGCACCTGAAATAGGATTGTGCTTTATAGACTGTGCCACATAAGGAGATTATCTACCTCCATACCGACTCTGGATTTTACGGAACGCATTCGCCGATCGATGTGTTAACACATGAATACGCGCAAATGAATAGGTTGACATATATCCAGATCTGTCATCGTAATTTTGAGCTCATACATTCAACCCAATCCCCACATCGACCTGTCCCCTTTACTTGTGCCAGGTAGTAATATGCAGACAATCGCTTTTGAATACAGATCCGCTCTCAATAGCACAGCACAAGCCACGCGCGCACATGTCAAAATTTGTACGCAAACAATGATTGCAGATATGTGTTAGAGAACAGATATCGGAGTGGTTTGTTGTTCCGCAAAGGATTGCCAGACTTCCGTGCGCAATATGGCTGGAATCAAGCAAAACATACGTTCGCACAACTATCACCTTAGGGCCCACTCAAAGCCGCGGCTGTTTCAATGCAGTGTTGCTCCGCGTTCGCCACCCCGACTTCGCCACCACCCCGATCCTGGTCAAGTTATAAAATGCGTGTCATTGGGGCGAGCGCGCGCGCACAAGCCAAAATCTTACCAACCCCACGGCCTTGAAAGAACTTGAAGCAAATTTTGTCGAAGACCACATGCTTTCCCATACTAAATCTGCCTAGCTTTCTATGCGCTCGTTCCTCCTCTTTTCGTCTATACCAACAACGTTTGTCAGTACTATATCCAGCGGCATATTTGTCGTCGTCGTCATCATCAACACGATCGTCATCGTCATAATCACCCCCGTTGTCGTCATCACCACCACCGTTGTCATCATCATCGAAAACGTCGTTGCAGTTACTCTTGTCATGGTCACCACTGTCACCATCATCATCACCATCATCATCATCATCTGCATTGTCGTCGCCGATGCCGTTGTTAACATCACCATTCGCCCACCCGAGTGTTGGATCTGCATGAGAATGGTCCTCGCGCCAGTGTGCCAGCTAGGTGTTGCCAACAACTGGCGTGTGGGTGAGTGCCATGTTTGCTCGTACATGGTAGTTGACTCTTTCGATGTTTTGAAAACTGAGCTCATCCCTTGAATTTCACCGCACTGGCGTCACATCTAGTGGCCTCTGGTCCATCCCGCCATTGTGTTCGGGTTGAGCACAAGGGGCTTGTTGGGGGTTTCTTGGGAGGCCTCTTGGGGTCTGGTGGGAGGCCTCGTGGACTGATTGGAGCTCTTTTGCATGCATCTTGGGAGCATCTGAGAAGTCTCTTGAAGGCCTACTGGGGCCTCTCTGGAGCTGTGGAAGCCTCCTACGCGCCTCCGGGGAGCTCGTTGATGGTCTCGGGCGCAATCTAAAGTTGGAGGGCGTCAAATCTTAGTTCGAG